TCCTCTTTATGATTGCCTCAAAAATGAAAATACCTTGGAATAAACTTAACTAAAGTAGTGGAAGAAATTTTTAAAATGCTAAATTAAGAATTGGAAGAAGACACTAGAAGACAGAAAGTTCTCTGGTGTTTGTGGAATGGATGGATATGGTAAGAATAGCTATACTGTGGAAAGCAGCCTACATTTTCACTGTAATCCCCATCAAAACTCCAATGTCTCTCTTCACAAAAATAGAAGGAAAAATTAAAAACTCATGGAAGCACAAAAGACCCCAGTCAAATTAATCCTAAGAAAAGAGAAAATAATGCTAGAGGGATCAGCATTATCAGTTATCAAGACACATAATTCCAAATTACATTACAGAACTGTAGTAATAAAACCAGCTTGGTACTGACACAGAACAGACATATAAATCAATTGAAAAAATAGAGGATGGGAACACATATCTCCATACCTGTAGACAACTGAGTTTTGACAATGATACCAAAAATATACATTGGAGAGAAGAGGCTTCTTCACTAAATTGTGCTGGGAAAAACTGGGTTTTCATGTAGAGAATGAAACTAGATCTCTGTTTCTCACCTCATAGGATCAACTACAAATGGATCAAATCACTTAATGTAATTCCCGAAATGCCGACACCATTAGAGGAAGAGAAGTAGGGAAAGCGCTTCATGATGTAGCTGTAAGTAAATACTTTCTTAGTAAACTGTAGTTACTCAGGTGATAGCACCAACAACTGGTGAACTTCATGACACCAAAATGTTTCTGCACAGTGAAGGAAACAATCAGGAGATAACCTACAGAATGGGAGAAAATATTCGCTATCCTTACAATGAGACAAAGGACTAACATCAGACAAGAAATCAAATGAGAAAATTTCAAAAGATGCAATAATAATGGCTGATAAACATACAAAAACCTTAGTGGTCATCAGAGGAATGCAGATCAAAGCTACATTGAGATTTCATGTCACCCCAGTTGGAAAAGTGGTCATTAGGAAAACAAGTAACAAATTCTGGTGAAATTGTGAACAAAGAGAACTCCTGTACACTGCCTGTGAGAGTATAAACTGGTCAATCTACTGTAGGAACCAGTATTGAAGTTCCTCAAAACAATAATTATTGTTTTTATGACCCAACTGTACCTCTGCTGGGTATTTATCCAAAGAACTATAGGCCGATATATCACAGAGATACATCACTATGGAACTAACCTGGATGTCTATCTAGCAGAGGAATAGAGAAACAAAATGTGGCATAGATACAAAACGGATTTTCTTTTAACCATAAAGAATAAAGCAATGACATTTGTCAGAAATTAGATGCACCTGAAGAAAATCATATTAAGAGAATTAAAGGGCTGGAAATGGTTACAGGAATGCTTCTAACTCTGCCAAAGTATTGTAGTTCAGTTCCCACCACCTACATTGGGTGGCTTACAACTGCCTATAATTCCAGCTCTAGGGGATCTGATGCTTTCTTCTTACCTCTGTAGGCACTCACATACAGTACACCCACAAATACATAAATGAAAGTATAAATAATAGTGAAGTATTTTGCAAGAGAATTTCAATGTAGTCATCATCGCTGAAGCACTGTTATGAGAATTGCCACATGGAGACCCCCCCCCCAACGCCACAAAGCTTTACTGTATTTAAATGTATAAGAAAATTAAACTGTGGAATCTGATTGTTTAGAAGTTTTTATCTAGTCTGACTGACTAGATCCGGCTGTACCGATTTTTCATTCTTACCTCTTTATGATTAGTTTTCCTACTGGCCATGATACCTCCAGGGACCACCCCCTGCAACATATCCCAGTAATGTTTGTTCAAATAAAAGACATGAATATGTATATTATTATATCTAAAATTCCATGAGAATGACACTCTGGTCAGTTGTAATGCAACTGCTTGAACCCAGGGTTATCAGCTAGAAGCTTCAGTCTCCCCTACATTTCTAAAATATAAACACAGAGGGAAACTGCAAATCATTGAGGCTAGAAATAACTAGATTGCTGTGTGGGTGCATCTCAAGGGGATAAAAAGCCTTCCTTTATCATACACAAATAAAGCCCACCAACTGTGTAATTTTTTAATAGAGGCTCTGACTTTTCCAGGAGAGAAGGAGCTGTAATATATTTTTGTTGTTGTTGTTTTGTTTTTGAGACAGGGTTTCTCTGTGTAGTTTTGGTGCCTGTCCTGGATCTTGCTCTATAGACCAGGCTGGCCTCAAACTCACAGATATCCACCTGGCTCTGCCTCCTGAGTACTGGGATTAAAGTCATGCGCCACCACTGCCCCAACAGAGCTGTGATATTTTCTAAGGAGGAAAAATATGCATAAAACAATAACAAAAATTAAAACACCCTTTGAGTCTCTTTGTCTTTTTATTAACTCTTGCAGTAGATCCCTGGCTCCCAAATGTCTAGGAAGCTAAATAAAATTATCTGACTCTACTTCCAAGGATTGTTGATTTTTATTTCATGATCATTAAACAAATTTTTATGACTGATTGTATAAAGACCCTCCAGCATTGCTGGAGGTATATATAGCCATCTGCAATGAAAATATTCAGTGACAATGCATCCCCAAAATTATAGTGCCAGGGAATTAGAACCAAATAGAATGTCATGTTTCATATGAAAATAAATCCTTTCTGGATGTGGGCATCTCAGGTAGATGGAAATCTAGTTTTGAGTATTCCCTCAAATAGGATGCTTTTGCAGACCCAGAGGAGATACTTCTGGATTATTTTTCTGTACAAACAACAACTGGCCAAAGGTTAAGTACAGGTTTGAACCCCTGGGAAAATCAGCTCAGAGAGAACCAAGGTCCTTCTGGCCAGTTTATCTATGAACAAGTGTGTGTGTGTGTGTGTGTGTGTGTGTGTGTGTGTGTGTGCATGCACATAAGCACTAGTGCTGTCTGGCTTGTTTTAAAATCAGAGGCACATTAGAAAATTACTCACTGAATGTCAAAGTCTTCTCTAAGACTGATGTGCTGGTGATTACCAGCATAGTACCAAAACTTTTCAGTTTTGATTAGATGTACTTCATTCACAATGACTTTGGAACTATGAAACAATAACTAAGATTTGGAGAAGATGAACTTTGTTTGTTTGTTTGGTTTGGTTGATTAGTTGGTTGCCTTTTTGAGACAGGATCTTGCTATTTAGGCTGGTCTAGCCTGGTGTTGAACTGTGATACTCCTGCCTCAGATTCCTGTGCGCTGTGCTTATATACGTGACTTTATTTTTCATTTAAATAATATTTATGCACATGCCTTTAATCCCAGCACTCAGGACGGAGAGGAAGGTGGATCTCTGTGAGTTCGAGGCTGGCCTGGTCCACAAAGAGAGTTCTAGGACAGCCAAGACTGTTACACAGAGAAACCTTGTCTTGAAAAACCAAAAAAAAAAAAAGTTATGTGTATGAGTGTAATGCCAGACTGTATGTAGGTATGCATGCAATACTCTTGGAGGCCTGAAGAGGACATCCTGTGAAACTGAAGTTACAGATGGTTGTGAGCTTCCATGTGGGTTCTAAGAACTGAACTGGCGTCCTCTACAGGATCCACTAGAGCTCTTAACCACTGAGCCAGCTCTCCAGTCATGATGCATGATTTTTAAAAAAAATTGATGGCAAGATGCTTTTATTAGCTCCTTAGACATTTGCAGACAGGATATTGCTGTATATCTAAGCATGTCTTGACCTCATGATCCTCCATCTCATCTTTCCAAGTGGGAGGAACCCAAATGTGTACCACTGTGCCTATCTTAGACTGTGTGTGTATGAGGGGGGCAGTGGTTGGAGGGAGGGTGTGGATATGGGTCTACCTTTCACTGAGATTAGGACCAAGAAGGAAGCAGATTCGGGTCCTGAGTACAGATGTTGAATCAAACCTGACACTATGACTTTCTGAATGTCTACTCAACTTTAGGAAAGACATTTAACCACCAGCAACATTATTTTCTTTATTTGCAATAGGAAAAACCCTAAATTCCTAAATCATCAGTGCTAGGATTGTATTTTTACTGTATTTCCTTTGTATCAGAAAGACAAGGAAATCAAAGCTACATTGTTCCTCCCAAAGATGAGAAGAAAAAGACCATCAACCCAAATCATCATGACCAAGTTAATTAAAGCAAGGAATTAATTAAACCAGGCTTTTTGTGTACATGGGCTACCTCTCCTTAAGGTAGGGTTTGAGAGGTCATCATTGGATATGAGAAAGTCAAGGCTTTTATATCTCAGGGGTAGGAGGTTTCCAAATGGAGTAATTGCTGGCCAAAATAGGTGGGGTTACAGGAGCAGAACATAAGCATAACAAGTTAGTCCCTCCTGAAACAACAATATGGTTGCAAGATGGGCATAACAATACATAGTCATAACAAGGTAGCCATAACAACCCTTTTAAAACAAAGGTAGGGATGTAAGATGGTTATGAACAACGTTTTGAAACAAAGTCATGGTTGCCATTCCTGGAATAGGCAGTACGGAACCATTTGTAGTTAAGGTTACAGGTGGGGCATAGCCAATCCTTGAGAAACAGAGGTGTAATCTTTTTTTTTTTTTTTTTTTTTTTTTCACTTCAACAACAAACCCAATGACTTTATTTTATAATTTTACTTTTAAACATAAATATATGAAACAATGTTTTCTTTAAAGGGGAGAATAATGGAAATAAAATGTCCCACCTGAAAAGCAGCGCCCAAGTTCAACTTGAGAGCTTTACTAACAGGTTATAACAAAGATAATCATAAATGTGCTTATCAGTTAGGTAGTCAGTTTTACTCAAAGGCTAAAAACAAAACAAAACCCAAAATAACTCTAATTTGTTCTTACAGAATTAGAACACAAGCTGTGACACATCTTAAATACAGCAGCAAACGGCTACTCAGTTCTTTCCAACGGAAACCACACTACAGTGAGGTGTGGCATTAGGGGCATTAAAACTACATCCAAATAAATGGAAAAAAGGCTAAAACAACTAACAGGTAAATTTTACATTTTTATTAGCTTTTAGCATCCAATAATTATTTGATATTAGTATCTTTCATGTCATAGTCACTCATTATTGTTATTCTTCTTTAAAAAATGAGGCACAATGCTTTGAAGAATTCAGTAATTTTCTACCTTTAAAAAGTCTTTGAGAGGCCAGGCGCTGGTGGCGCACGCCTTTAATCCCAGCAGCCGGGAGCAGAGGCAGGAGATCTCTGAGTTCGAGGCCAGCCTGGTCTAGAAAGTGAGATCCAGGACAGCTAGGGCTACAAAGAGGAACCCTGTCTCAAAAAACAAAACAAAACAAAACAAAAGTCTTTGAGAATGTAGATTTCCCTTCCTCCAAGAGAGTTTATAATTTTAAAAATTACACAGCAATGATTAATGATCTCTGAATGATTGTTATTATTCAGAAATACAAGAAGATAAAGTTGAGTCTGTAAAAGAAACCTAGAAATGTACTTATTCATAGTCTATACCTCCGAAAGGCAATCCTCTATTCTGTCAAAAAACACAGTTGGATAACTAAGAGCTTATTATCCATGAGCAGAGACTCATGGCACTGTGACTCCAAATGAAGCCTCTCCTTTTTTATTTTTATTTTTTTGGTTTTTCAAGACAGGGTTTCTCTGTGTAGCCTGGGCTGTCCTGGAACTCACTCTGTAGGCCAGCCAGGCTGGCCTCAAACTCACAGAGATCCGCCTGCATTGCAGCTTAAATGAAGCTCCTTAGATCACGTGTGCACGTGGAGTCTATGTGCGTGCGTGAGGATAGGTACAAGCAAAGGCTAGTGGTGTTGGTGTCCCTGGAACTGGAGTGACAGGTGGTCAAGAGCCACCTTTTATGGGTGCTGGGAATCAAATGGGGTCCTCTGGAAGAGCCCTTGCTCTTAACCGCTGAGTCACCTCTCCAGTCGTAAATAATATCTTCCTTTTTTTTTTCCTTCTTCCACTTTTTGGTTTTTCGAGACAGGGTTTCTTTACACTAAGTAAAGTTTCTTAAGGACACAGCATATCTAAAAGTTACTTCACCTATCCCTAAGTTTAACTTTTTAGTATGGTTTCCAAACTGTGTTCATTTAAATAATATACTGGAAAACACAAATCCAAATTAAAAAGCAATCTTATGTTAAAAAGATATGTATAATGTCTGTATACATATATAGATACACCTACACACAGAACATGTGTTAGCATATTCCTACTACATGTTTAGTTAGCATGAACAAATACATACAAACACATGTGTTAAACAAAGTAAGAAGATAGAAGTCAGGATCTACTCAAATATTAACAGCACGAAAGAAAAGTGCAAGCCAACAACAGCAGCAGTCACAATCTTAGCAACGGCGACGTGACTAAACTAAAAGACCTGGCTGACAATCCTTTATCTAGTTTTCAGTCTCACAACTTGAAGGTTTTAAAATAACACACCAAGATTACATGATTTAAAATGGGCTATTTAGTAAAAAATTTAAGGGTCATGACATATTAACATGCAAAGCATACACAGGATCGTGATAAATTAATTTTTTGAAATTACATTTTAACTAGCTGCAATTTTTCTTAGAAAAATAAACCAGAGAGTAAAGAAACACTTTCTATACAACACTGGAAACTAGGTAGGTATTCTAGTAAGAAGTGGTGGAGTTACTTGTACTGCTCAATAGGAACAGACTAGGAAAAGCAGTGTTTGACGATGGAAATGAATTACAAGACTCTGAAATGAAGTAATACATCTAAGTTTTAAAAATCCAAGAAAAGAATATAATCTAATAGAGGAAGCTACTCAGTGAAACACGGCTCCACGGTAAGAATTAGAACCAAGAGAAATAAAACTGCACAAGACAAATGTTCTTTACCAATGCTAAGCAATTCTCCAAAGTATTTTTATATCAGAATTATATTGCATCAAATTTAACAGCAGCAAAAAAGCTGAACCATTATCAGAACTGTCTGACAGGCTTTTTAAACTCTATGACTTGCTTTGCCTCTAGCCTTCCTAGAACTCCAAGTAGGAAGGAGTAGGGAGATGGCCTAAGACGGATATCTCCTTTGATTATGTGAGCCTAGAAAGCAGAGAGCTTCCCACCTTTGTCCCCCAGAAAGGAAGGGATCTGAATGTAAATATATGACCCACAAGATGATTAATACACCTACTGACTAACATTTGCTGGGAAATTCTGTTTGAACTAAGTGAGATGCTAATTATGGCTTAGCGCTAATTTTGTCACACTTATGAATTTGCTGAAACATAATTCACTAGCATGCCAAATTAAAGGAACCAACTATAAAGTATTGTATAAAAAGCTGGTGTTTCTGTATATTTAGGGTAATAAAGGGAAAACGTTGGTTTTTATGAAAATTTAAAGTATGAACTATTAAAAAAGCAGTTCAACAGTATTTAAAATAGATTAGTTTAAAATTGAATTTTAGAAAAAAATCCTAGTTCCCTTTTCATTCTACTATTCATAATAACCAAAAGCATTATCACAAAAGATTATAAAAACATTTAAAATACAATTTTATGCGACTTTTATTTGTACTTTCGGATCTAAACAACTGTAGGGAACGCCCTTGTGGGGCAGCACAAAGTGGTTTTCTTTTTATTTGAAGCTATTCAAATTCAAGACAGGCTCACTACTTTGCTCTAAAGTACTCAGCACTGTCAGCTAACCCAGTCAACTTAAGAACTATCTGTGATAGCAGCTTGACTGTGTGAGTCTACAGGGCCTCCCCACCTCGGCTCCCCCGGGAGAGGGAGGGGTCTTTGTATGCTTTTCTGTGGTGGTTCCACTGAATTCATCACAATAGAGATGGACATTTGAAATTCATAACGATCCAACATCTGAGCAATCTTCTTCCGAGACACACCATGTTTATTCCTCTTTTCTAATTCTTCAGGATCAAACTTCCACCAAGTTTCCGGTTCATGAAACTCTACTCTGTATCCTTTTCCTATGGCCATTTCCACATATGGTTTCATTTCCCAGGCTTGTGTATTAGTGTTGTCTATTATAACTGGAGATCTCCCCTGATCAATAGCTTGTTTTGCTCTGCTCTGGTTCCAGTCATGGGCATCACCAAGTTGATTAACATTGTACCTGTACCCATCTTGATGATGAAAATAGTCATCAGTGCTGAACACGATGCCATCTCGACTCTGACCAAGCAGAATTCGAGACAATGTTGTTTTTCCAGACCCAGGGAGGCCTCGCAGAAGAATAAGTAATTTCTGCAGTTTGTTTAGCTTCTCCTCTGGAAACCACTGGCTCACCAACCTGTCTGCTCCATTGCGCTCTCCCAGAAGAGGCTCTCTCCAGCACTCTCTGATTTCACAGAAACCATCCCTCACACTTTCCTCCTGCACACTGTAGCCGTTTCTGAAGGGCTGAACAGTACTGCTAGTCACACCGTAATGAGCATACTCATCGTTCTGATCAAAAGTTAAACAGTTCCAGCTATCCTGATAACTATCTACGTAACACCCGTTCTGCATCTGAGAGTCATCTTGCCCATGGAAAATATTTGGTGGTGGATTTAGTGGGCCATTGAATCTTGGAATATTAAAATGATAATTAAAACTGGGAAGAGGAGGACCATGGGGTATGACAAAAGGATGTACTGACTGCCATTCAGGCCCGAAGGAAGAGAATGAAGTATCACAAAACGGAGGCATCACTTGTTCATCACAGGGATGTCTGCCTGGTTCATTCTCCAAGTACTGCTGGTAACCACAATGTGACTGAAGAGCGTCACTGAGGTCTTTACTCTCTTCCTCTGACTTTAAGGTACCATAGGCCTGGTCATAAGGAATAGTTTGTTCCGGGGAAGGCTCTGGTACCTTACAACTGCCTTGTGAAGCATCATTTTCATTTTCCAGCTCTTCAATTTCTTTGTAAAACTGGGATAATTCCGTGTCAATCTCCAATTTTTTGGAGATAAATTTCTGTTTTTCTTCTCGTCTTCTTTTGTCATCTACACTACTGAAACTGTCCGTCTCATGCTTCCTTTCTCGGCATTTCTTTTTTTCAGGGGGTTTGTAAATGGGGCCTATGAATGCTTTACTTGTGCTATAGATTTCGTCATCCTTGGAGAGTGATGAAGGCTTTCCATCCTGCAAAGCTTTCGAACCAATGGATTCAACACCACCTAGTTTATCACCAGGCATCTCCTTGTACAAAGGCTTCAACACATCTGTAGTTCTGGTTTTGTCTTCCTCAGGACAAATTCGTCTTCTGAAGTTAATGGTGGCCACAGGGATCCTATTATTTCTGGTTTTCTCTTGGAGTCTGTGACTTTCAGGACCACCTCGATGGGACAAAACACAATCATCTGCAGCTGACTTCAATTTTTTAGAGCATGGTTCCCTTGTTAGTTCTTTTCCAGGTCCCAAAAACTTAGCTTCAATTTCACTATAGGGCATCTCCGAGGGAGCGAAAGACCGTCCGAGAGGGAGCTACAAAGCCGAGCGGGAGAGACGCGGGGCTGGAGCAGCTCCATACGCAAGATCCAGAGGTGTAATCTTAAACAGGAATAAACTTAGTTTGTCTTTACTATTAGATGACTTTTAAGCCTAAGATGAAGGCAGGCTGGCTCTTCATCACCAGGAAGGAAAAGAGCTGAACTCTCTCTAGTTTTGGTTTAAGTCTCTTGATGAAACTCAAGAATTTCTACACAACTGTCTGAACATGCTGTGAGATGTCTTCCACAAAGATAGTGTTCCTCTTTTCCCAGAGATATCTCAAAGAAAACTGTTAGAATAAGTAACGAATCATGCAAAAAGCTAAACCCATGTCTTAACCCCTAAGACTATGTAGTAAAGAAATAATATATTCTGATCACTGTTTGCCTTCCCTCATCTCCTCCCCATTTCCCCACCAATCCAATTCCATGCCTTCTTTCCCTCTCTTTAGAAAACAAACTGGTAAATTAAAAATGAAAGAACAAACAAACTAGAATAAACAAAACAAAAACAACAGCAAAAAAACCACATGCACACAAATAATACCCATAAAAACACAAAATCAAAAGCCATAATATACAAGCAAAAGACCAGTAAGATAAAAAACAAACAAACAGAAACAACAACAGCCAAAAAACAAAACAAAAAACAAAGCAGTATTAATTTTTAAAAAGGCTGTAAAAACACCATTGAGTTCACTTCTGTTTGCCATCTATTGCTGGACTTGCAGCCTACCCTTAAGTGTGGTTTATATATCCAATGAGACTTCACTGGAGAAAAACGATTTTTTTTCCTTTGCAAACAGTTGTCAGTTGGAGATAGTTTCTTGGTTAGGCATGGATCAGGGTCAGGACACTGTCTGACTGGGACCTGTGAAGAACCTGTGCATGCTACCACAGTTTCTGTGAGTTCATAAATGCATCAGTCTTGTGTCTGGAAGATACACTGCTTACTTGGTGTCATCCATCCCCTCTGGCTCTTATAATCTTTTGGCCTCCTTTTCCCCAGGGTTTACTGAGTCCTGAAAGGAGGGATTTGATGAAGTCATCCTATTTAGGACTGAGTGTTCCAGAGTCTCCCAGTCTATGTACACTGTCCAGTTGTGGGTCTTTATGTGTTTTCATGTACTGTTAGAGGAAGCCTCTCTGATGATGATTGAGTTCCTGTGCACACTAATCTGATACTGTCCAAATGTCCTCTAACTTTGGTTCTTTCATGTAAATTGCTTGTGACATTAGTTTCATACACAGGCATTTTCATCTCAAGATTGAGATGTAAAAAAAAAAGAATGGGGAAAGGTAACAGGAGTCTGACAGTAGTGGATATATTCTAAAGAGATACTTGTGCTTTCCTCTTTGACTATCTGACTGCGGAATATTGGACCCCAAGAAATTAGAATTTCCCCAGGAATCTCCTGCTGAGAACAGGAACTGCTGAAGCCCCAGGGCCAGCCAGAAGAGGAGCTTTCTTTCAGAGAAATATTCACAAGTCAGATAGCCTCATAGGAAAGACAAGAATTGAGACCGGGGTGATCAAGAGACCTTGAGACTGTTTTGTTATACATATCACCTGCTTTCTATTTAAACCTGACCTTCATAGAAAAACAGGTGGTAGTCTGGTCTCAGTGTTCCAGTATGCAGTAATACTTGTCATTTGATGGAATACATAATAGATAACACATTTAGATTTACTTTAGAGATAAGTAAAAAGAATGACCAATGTTTCAGGAGGCTAGCAAGAGGAAGAGCTATGTTGGGATGTAGATCTGACTCTGGAGTTTACAGTGTTAACTTCTGAGCTCTGACCCCTGTCACCTGCTATACCATTCTCCTTGGTGAAGTCAGAAAATTTTCTTGTGTCAATTAAGCAACACTTATGGAGTCTGCATATGTGAGACATTTGATGTGTTAAGTTGTTTGTACGTTTTAGTTTGCTTTCTATTGTTATAATAAAAAACTACCATCTAAAGCACCTTGGGGAAGGAAGGGTTTTTTGGCTTACAGGATATACAGATAGACAGGATATTTGTCATCCAGGGAAATCAAGTCAAGAACTTGACAGCAAAAGCTGAGGCAGAGGCCATAGAGGAACACCACTTACTAACTTGTTCCATTTGATTTCTTATACCATTCAGGCCCAACCTTTCCAGGAGTTGTTTTGCCCCCAGGGGTCTGGGCCTCCTCATATAAATCTCATATGAATTTATCAAGAAAATGATCTGATTGAGGAATTATCTCAAGCAAAGTTCCTGTCAGGCCCCAAAGAAAACCCAGACAAATAGCTAACTGTTAACACACTAGAAAGTGTACTCTGGCCTCTAGATTCACTCAGTACCCGTGACTCCTCTCTGTTCGTCTCTCCTTGGCCCCCTACTCTAAACTGCTCCATCCCAGAGGCTTCTTTTCCCTTCCCCCAGATTTTCTTTCCTATATAACCCTGACATTTTGGCCATGAGATCTCTTGGTTCTTTTGGTCCTCTGCTCTTGGTTCCTGTTCCCCTCTCTCTTCTCTTCCTGTCACTCTCCACATCCCTCTCATGGTCCAGTTTATTCTGCTGGCCATGTCCAACCTGCTACTTTTTCTCTCTGCTCTGGACTCTTCCAGATGCCTCTGGCTGAATTCTCCCTCATATCTACAATAAAATCCTTCCCCTCAGCCACACCTAGAAGCAGTCATGTCCTCATTTTCATTCAGTTCTCTCTTCCCAGATGACTCCAGCTTGTATGAAGTAGACACAAAACTAACTAGGACAGTAAAGAAATAACACTTCAGGAAACAGAGGACCAAGAGGTCAAAACCAGGCAAACCGCAATCACAGGAATCAGGAAAAGATCCCTTGTGACAGAAAAAAGAAAGGCTAATGTTTTGTAGAGACTATGTGAGGAAGATATTAACATGTGATGTCTAGGTTTGGATATTAAGACTCTTGGTACTTATAGTAAGGAACTGATGGTGGAGCCCAGCACAGAAGTCAGTTAGAGGGGACTGGGAGGAGAGTGGAGTTGGATCTTCAGAAGACAGGCAAGAGTAGGAGAAGGATGGGTTGGGTCCTGAAGGAATGTGTGAAGTATATGGAGTCTGGTTTTATTGTGATTGTTTTAGGAATTTTTTTCAGGCTTATGGAATAGATACAAAAAGGAACAGGAAGAAGAAGATTCGGAAGGTAAAACATATAATAGAATCCATGGGGTAGCGCAGAGGATGATGGGATTGAGTTCCAGATTACAAAATTGGGGCACTGTTAGTAAAATACATGGGGAGAGATCTCTTTCTCTACTGCATGAGGACACTGCCAAATCCAAAGTAATCTCAGGCCGCTTGCTAACTGTGGTGTCTATTAGCATGCCAAAGAGCACACTGACTTCTAGGCTCTTAGCAAGTACCTGTTACAGAGTCTGGTGCTGGCATCCTGGCTCTTCTCAACTCTTCTCTTCCCAGCCCCTTATTCTAACCCTCTCCAGCCCATGTGCTTCCCTTCCCCCAGCTTTTGATTGCTATATTACCCTGCCATTTGGGCCATGTGATCTCTTGGTTCTCTTAGCCATCTCTTCTGTTGGTCTTCTCTCCCTGTCTCCATTGCTCTCTCTCTTCTTTTTTACTCCCCCTTCCCCCATCATAGCCTGACTTAGTTTGTTGGCCATGTTTAGTCTACTAGTTTCTCTGCCTGTTATGGACTCTTCCAGATGCCTTTGGCTGTACTCTCCTTTATATCTACAAGAAAATAAAAACCTTCCTCTCAACCATACCTATGAGTGACCACGTCCTCATTTCATCCAAACACAAAAATGATTGATGTCTTATAGCTTTGGTAGATAAAAGATGATTTTCTACCTCATGGCTTTAAATTTTTCCGTAAGAGTCATAATGTTTTCTGGAGTCTGATGTTATTCCACCTGAGCAGGTTTTTTTTGAATGGATCACAAAGAGTCAGAGAGGGAGAGACACGCACATTTTCAATTACGCATGTTTTCTGCTTTTATCCTTTGCTGGAAATAATCCTCATGAGTTTGGCACACAAAAGGAGCATGCTCTTGAAAATGATAGAAGTCAAATTCTTGAAGCCTACCTAGTATGCTGGTGTTCGAAGTTGGGACAAGCTGACAGCACTTGGGATGTTTGCATTGTGTGTTAGGAGCTGTGAGCCAGAGTCTCACATCCAAGGCTCAACCCTTTTCCTTCATGAAATCTGTGAACTTCTGAAAGCAATCCAGTCCAAAGGACCAATCAACAGTCCCTGAAAAGACAAAGTGGCTCTCCTGAGTTCAAAAGTGGCCCCCACTGATGTTAAGTTGGTCCACCCCCTGAGTTATTGTAACATTGAGTGCTAGCCCTTTGTATTTTTTTATATTATCTCACCCCAGTCCTAATTCTGTTTGATGTTATAAGAAGGATAAGGAAATTATGGAAGTTTCACATTCCTAATTTGTACTGTTTCTTGTTATCTTGGTAACATATGCGCAGCACAAACAAGAAACGCCCAGAAGTAAAGGGAACATTGGCTATGTGACTTAGAATTCAGAGGTTGGAGAGGGGCTCAGAGAGTCTTGAATGAGCCACTTGCTGATAGAAGAATTCCTTCACAATTCTTTGTGATGTGTGATATAAACCAGTGTGGTAACGTTTATAATCCTGGCACTTGAGAGGCTGAGGAAGGAGGATTAGAAATTCCTGACCAGTCAGGAGTTCATAGTGAATTTTAGGCTTCCCCCACACACAGAAAAACAAAATATCATTTTTCCTCAGTCTCAGTGGAAGGTTTGTCAGCCGAGGCTCAGTTCTTACATTGATGATGGAGGATGCTCACTACTTTGATCTGTTTCTGTGTTTTTAAAGCACCCACCTTACAGGTTTCTGTGCTACTTCATGCAAATGGATTTCAGCTTCCTTGCAAGTGACTCATTCCATGCTTCTGATTCATATGGCATGGTTGAATCCTTATTCAGACCCAACATCAGAAAGCCCACCCTTTGCGATAGTTTCAAATCACTATGATATAACACCTGTATAAACAACTCAACAGGTGAAAAGCCTTACTGTAGCT